TGCCCCGTCCAGCTCAACAATCTGCTCTACGACCTCAGCCTGCCTTTCCAAGTTTTCTGTTCAGGATAGATAGAATTTAAATGAGATAATACTGATCTAAAATTTAATTTTTACGTATTTATTCATTTAAATTCTATTTTTATGTTTTTATTCATTACGTTTTTTGAATTTTTACACATTTCCTGTAACATTTGTTTAACTATTTCTGCAATGAAAAATATATGAATATAGATTTTGATTAAAAAAAAAAAAACTATGAGCTTTTATTATTATATGGAGCCCTTCATGTGTCAACGGCTCAGTGTTTCCAACTTAGCAACTTTTCTGACTATCCTGGCCAATTTTTTTAGCACTTTTAGCAACTTTTGTAAAACTGACTCTAATGCTAAAATGCAAGCATTTTCCCTCTAAATAACACACAAATGTACCTGACTGCAAAAGCGCATTGATTGACTTCAACAGCAGGCGCTTAGCTCTTGCACAGCCAGCAGTCAGCCTAATAATTGCAATGAAAGTCTCACAAATTCATCCAAAATGCACAGAATTTTTGTATTTGTATGCATTTGTTTGTGGATGGCTGTGTGGGTTTTTTGAGACTGGCCTGTTGGTGGCTTGATTTGCAAATGCGTTTTTTCCAAATGGAATTATCGTGGGTTGCCGTCATTTTCAACCAATGAGCGCAGCTCCCTCTTCTCCCTACAAGGCTGCCAGTGTTACAGTTACGCAATTTAGGCAGCGAAGTGGCGGGTGGGTCAGCAAACAATGGTGTCTCGTAGTGACGGCGCTTCGCTGAAAGGTGGCCTGACCCGAGCAGTTTTTAGCTAACTATCCATAAAAAATATTGAGAAAAAATATTGTAATCTCTTCAGCTCCTTACTTTTTGAGCCAAGTTTTAATTACGAAAGTTGAAATTTTCTTAATCAGAGTCGGTTAAAAGATGCTAAAGCCGGTGAATTAGCCGTCCGCTAGTATTACCCTGACCCATGGGCAGATAACTAAAAATTGATCAAAATTGGAAGCCCGGTCGGTAATAACTGCTAGAATTCAGCCGAACAACTCCTCTCGTTCTGGTAGATTTATTTGGATTCTTCCCTGCAGCTCAAATGCAGAACTTCATGAGGTCATGTTGCTGCTCAAATCTTGTGCATTCAACACCTCAAATCAGTTTGTTTTTTCATTTGAGCATATAAAACTTAAAATACCATATACACCATGCAGTTACATCTGTACCCCATATTGTATGCAGATTTTGCATCAGAACTGCAACCTTTGTTCATTCTCAGCAATTGCCCCACTCAAACAACTGCAAACAGAAATAAGATGCTACCTCAGCGTGAGGCGAAAGACCCACAGCTATTTTCAATAATTGTAACCTAGTTCCAAGATGTTACTTCAAATTAGCATGCAGAAGCTGTAAAAACACTAGCTAATGTTAGCTAATTAAGCTTATGGAGCTACATGATTTAATTGAATAATAAGTTTCAAATAATTCAAATTGATCTCCGCTAACATTGTTTATCACGACCTCAAGTCTTGCAACAAGGGGGGGGGGGGTACATTAATTGTGTTTTCACTGCAAAAATGATTCTATAGTGAGTTAACAATAGCTTATGATCCTACGGTGTCTGCATAATATTGCAAATGTGGAATATTATAAACAACTGACGACCCGGTTTATTAGACCAATTAATAATGCATGTAGTGTACACCGGTGAGCTATGATTCTGAAACTATGTAATTAATAAAGAATTAGTGAAACACCACTGTAATTAATAGAATAATACCAATGCACAGCTATGATTGTATTCAATGTAATGTAACAAACCAAAATGCATGCATGCAAAACCACCAAGACATTGGATTTGATTTGAAATAACTAGTCCACTTGAATGCACCAGGAGACGTGACATGTCCAGGGGCGTGGACACTGCCTTCACGTCTTTGCTCACCAGTATAAATACCTGTAGGATCCCAGTGTTCTAGGTTGGTTCCAGTAAGCATGAGACAGCACTATGAGCCACTCTGTGCAAACCAGCGGATCCTCAGCCGAGATGTTCTTGTTATCACAACTACTGTGAAGTCAAACAGGGATTATTCTCATAGAATATAAAGAAGAGAAGGTAGGTAGGTAAATTGATAGGAGGTAACCCAGGCAACGGGTAGGAAAGGGGGCGGAGCATAGGGAGAAAGACCAGCTGACAGAGATCCACTGGTAGAAAACAATAAGGAGATCGAGGTTCCTGAAAGGCAGCGAAAGGGACTTTGTAGCTTCAGGGAAGTCGACTCACACGAGATGAATTCTTGCTGCGGCAATATTGAAGTATTTTTGCCCCCAGGGTCATTTAAAAAGAAATTGGGGGCATTTTTTTAAACTCGTGAAATAACATTTAACCTCTGTTAAAAACAACAAATATACTTAATTGAGCTTGGTGAATGCATGTGTCATCAGATGGCAGCAATACAACTATTAGGCAGTAGTCTACAGATTAAGTGTTCTTAGATTTTTTTAATCAAAATAAACAAAATATAAATCAGACTTGATTCAATTTTATTTTTATTTCTTTGTAGTTTCTTGTGTTACGCAATGTGTGAAGCAACAGTTTGACCATTCTGCACTCGATTCACAGCTTCCACAGTTGGCTTTCTGATTACTGATTACATTAGACCTTGAAAGTCGACTGCAGCATCAACTAATAGTATTTTACCCGAGATGGCAGTAACTTATGAGCAGTAACTTATGAGCACGGACTGCCTAACGTTAGCTAGCTCGCGAGCCTTCGTAGCTAACGTTAGTCGAATGGTCAATCAGAGCTAGCTAACTAACGTTACATAATTAATACTTAGTCATCACTCGCTGTAGGCGATGGTGTGTTGCTCGGCCGTCTAGTGAAGAAAGGACACGCATTTCTTCATACGTTTGCTCCCCTTGATGAAGTCAGTAGGATTTTATTGGGGACTTTTCTCTAATCTTTGCTTCATTGTGAAGGAATGGCACCGTCTCCTGAGCCCAGTGATAATTCTATTTTTGATTTAGTCTTTAGACGAAAATGCACATTAGTTTTAGTCACATTTAGTCATTTTAATCCTTAGTTTTAGTCACATTTAGTCATTTTAATCCTTAGTTTTAGTCACATTTAGTCATTTTAATCCTTAGTTTTAGTCACATTTAGTCATTTTAATCCTTAGTTTTAGTCACATTTAGTCATTTTAATCCTTCTAGCTTTAGTCACATTTAGTCATTTTAATCCTTCTAGCTTTAGTCACATTTAATATCCATATTAAACTCCTTTTCTTCCCTTCTCAGGCCCAGGGACCCCCTGTGTTGTGTCTACAGCTCCATTAGATGTCCCTCCTAGGACAGGCCGATAGATGTCCCTCCTAGGACAGGCCGATAGATGTCCCTCCTAGGACAGGCCTATAGATGTATCTCCTAGGACAGGCCGATAGATGTCCCTCCTAGGACAGGCCGATAGATGTCCCTCCTAGGACAGGCCTATAGATGTCCCTCCTAGGACAGGCTTGTAGATGTCCCTCCTAGGACAGGTCTATAGGATGTGATGAATGTAGGAGGAAGGGATGAGTCATCTAACACATAAATGGGCAAATCTCTCCGTTTGCAACAAAAAGAAACCGTCTTTCTTTGTCTATTTATTTACTGACAAATACAACGTAACACATATTTACATAAAACACATCACACATATCGCAAACTTTTAACAAACAGGGTTTATGTGTGCGTACAAAAAACAAGTTCTGTGTGTGCGTGAGTGCGTGCGTGTGTGCGTGAGTGCGTTTGTGTGTGTGAGTGTGCGTGTGTGTGAGTGTGTGCTTATGTGTGTGCGCGTGTGTGTGTACGTGTGTGTGAATGTGTGTGCGTGTGAGTGTGTGCGCGTGTGTGTGCGCGTGTGTGTGAATGTGTGTGCGTGTGAGTGTGTGCGCGTGTGTGAGTGCGTGCGTGAGTGCGTTTGTGTGTGCGTGCGTTTGTGTGTGCGTGTGTGCGTGCGTGCGTTTGTGTGTGTGTGTGCGTGCGTGTGAGTGTGTGCGCGCGTGTGAGTGCGTGCGTGGGTGCGTTTGTGTGTGTGAGTGTATGTGTGTGCGTGTGTGTGCTTGTGTGTATGCGTGTGTGTGTATGTGTGTGCGTGTGTGTGTGTGCGTGTGCGCGTGTGTGTGTGTGTGTGTCAAAAGCTTCAAACGCAGAGTTCACACTTTTACTCCTTGTGACTGAATGGAAATGAGGTGAAATAAAGTTTCTATTGCAGATATTAAAGTCATACGTGAGCAGTGTGGGTTTGTCTCTGTGCTGAAGAGCTAATTTGACAATAGAAAATATGAAAATGTAGAATAAATGATGAGAAACAGACTTATATATGTCTTATTTTCTGTAGCTGGGTTTTTATCTGTGGGCAGTTGATTCGGACGTTAGTTATGCCGGCTGGTCTTCACCTCTCTGACGTCAGATAGTCCAGCATCAACATCTTTATCGGCTGCCTCACATGATGTCAGCAGATTAAGCCGAGTGTCAGTGTGTTAGCAGATGTCATCTCAGGGAGTGAGCAGGTGGTGAGATATCATAAAAGACGCTTCAGTGTGGTTTACAGCAATAATGAAACATATACATGCATGAAAAGCACGTTTTAAACTGTAAAACTGGTCAGAACTATGATGCAACTACCAGCAGTGAGGTCGGTCTGATGCATTCAGTACCTCGATGCCACTTAACTGGTAACTAATTCACACACACAAGTTCCACTAAACATATCAAGCTACATTTTAAATGTGACAAAATGGTAAACTCCTTTAATGAGGCTAATTTGGATTTTGTATTCACCACATATACCTTACTGACGAACATCGGCACATAAAGTGGCCCCCAGCAGGTTACTCATCTCCTACGGTCATGTGAGGGACAGTCCCTCTCAATAACAAAGTTAACCATCTTCGGTCCCGTCTTCATGGTCCAGGTCAAAGTCTCTGCAGGGGCATTAGAGTGTGGCAGCGCGTCAAACCCCAGTCAAGTAGTTTGGAGGGTCCATGCGACACGTCTCCTCTCTATGGCCGGGACACTGCGTCTTTCATGGCTGCTCTCCGTGCTCATTGTCCTTCTGCTGGGGCTCCAGGGAGAGCCGAGGGACACGCCGCCGCGAGCCGGCGAGAGGAGCCTCACCAATCACCAGTGAGTTGGGCTTTGAACATGAACGCCAACATTGCTGCTTGTTGGGCTGGAAAAGGAATTCCTGATAATGTCTGTGACGTTTCTGCCTGAACCCGGTCTAACGAGGGAAGTGGTGCTTTGACCCCCCCAGGCCGCGTATGCTCTCAGATGATGGACATCTGGTCTTCACAACCGGAGACGGCAAAGAGATCCGCTTCGAGACGTCGGCATCAGGCCGGGTCAAGGTGGACAATGAGGACCTCACCCAGCTCCTGGGCCAGGTGACTATGTGGTGCATAAACCAGAGAACCTTCTGCCCACAGGTTGTTTCATGGTGTTGTGGTGTTGGTACCAGCAGCAGGTACTTCATCTTTCTTCATCTTAATTGTCGTGTTTGTGAAGTGTGACATTTCCATCCCAGCAAAGACTAACTTCACATTAAGGACAAACAGACACGGTTCTAAGGAATAAAAGCCCCCGTCTCCTTTTACAACAGTCAACCAGACCACACGGTACAAATATCTTTTATTTACCATAAGGGTTTCATCAGGACGATTTTGTTTGTGTCTAACTGTCTGATTTTAGATCAAAACCAACAAGGAAGACATAAACGACATTAAGGCCAACGGAGGAGGTGTTTCCCCTGAAGTTACCAACAAACTAAAGCAGCTGGAGAGCGAGGTAGGACACAGAGTTCATCCAATAACGGAAATCCCATGTAAACACTGACTCATCTGTACAAACATAGTACCTGTATTTGTCCTGACTGCACTATACATCTATATACTATATGTATACTATATGTCTATACTATATGTCTATACTATATGTCTATACTATATACTATATGTATATACTATATGTCTAAACTATACACCATATGTCTATACTATATACTAGATTTCTATACTATATACTGTATGTCTATACGATATACTATATGTCTATACTATATGTCTATACTATATGTCTATACTATATGTCTATACTATATACTAGATTTCTATACTATATACTATATGTCTATACTATATGTATATACTATATGTCTAAACTATACACCATATGTGTATATACTATATGTCTATACTATATGTCTATACTATATGTCTATACTATATACTAGATTTCTATACTATATACTATATGTCTATACGATATACTATATGTCTATACTATATGTCTATACTATATGTCTATACTATATGTATATGTCTCAATTCTATACTATATACTAGATTTCTATACTATATATACTATATGTATATACTATATATACTATATGTCTATACTATATGTATATACTATATATACTATATGTCTATACTATATACTATATTTCTATACTATATGTATATACTATATGTCTATACTATATACTATATTTCTATACTATATGTCTATACTATATGTCTATACTATATACTATATGTATATACTATATGTATATATTTTATAGTTTATTGCAACATTTATTGCGATATTATTGCAATTTTCAGACCATTTGATCTGATGACATAATGACAATATAATAGCACAGTAATAAAAGAACAAATACCGTGTTATTTGTCAGTATAGTTGGACATTACAATCGGAAAAAAATAGATCCTATATGAATAAAACCAAAAGAGTAATAAGTGAGCACGGAGCGGGTCGGGTTCCACAAAACGTGTCCAGCGGAAAGTCGCACCGCGGCAGCCGGGAGGCTGAATGCGGGGCTTCGCCCGCCGGCAGAGCGACGGAGCGGCCCGGTGCCGCTAACAGGCGGCCTCCCGCCCAAAGACGCCAACGGGCGGAAGGTTGTTGTTTTGGGTGGGATGTTAGCTTAGTTGGGTTAGCTGGGTTAGTTATCTTAGTTAACTTAGTTGCGGTCACTGCTTCCCGTCACGTGTCGCTCTGTCTGTGCGCGCTGCATAAGCCCCGCCCCTTTCCACAAGCAGAAGCCTCAGGATCAAATCACATGTTGTGACGTTGATTTAGCTGTAAAGTGGACATGATGAGCGCGTGATGAGTCATCTCATGTGTCTCCTTCCAGGTGTCAACCCTTCAGAACACTGTGACCACACTGGAATCGGTAAGATGTATCACATTCTCTATGACGGCTCAAAGACTGTCAAAGGCTTAAATGTTGCCTTTCTTCTGCTTTTCTCCTCCAGACTGTCCAAAGGCTGTCTTGCACCAGCGATCCGTGTCACAATGGAGGGACATGTCTGAACCTACTCAACTCGTACTACTGTCTTTGTCCCGGTAACTGGGCCGTGAGTCATACACCATCTGTTACATTATGGAGCTGTAGGGATCAGTCCAGGTCTCATCTGTAGCAGATCTTCTTACATGATTCTCAACAGGTGGTCCTTCTTCTCTTTGTGTGTGTGTTTCAGGGTCTCAACTGTGCAACGGACGTGAATGAATGTCAGCTGTATTCAGGAACATTTCAGAGTTGCCAGAATGGAGCAACCTGTGTCAACAGCCCCGGCTCATTCAGGTACGTCTCACGCTTCTCACGGACAACTGACAGACAGCCAACCAGATACAAACAGCCACTCATGGAATCACCACACCGCGCCACACCGCGCCAGAGCAGAGATCTTCCTCCCCAGACCGGTCACATGCTAGATGTCATACATGCGTCGGAGTGAGGGCCTCTGGTTGGGGAGCAGATGCTGGCTCTGGGGCCTGTCTGGATGCTTTGTGAGCACGATGTGTGTGTGTGTGCAGTTGTACGTGTTCTCCCGAATGGTCAGGCTCGCTCTGTACGGTGCGCTATGATGACTGCAGGAATGCGGGACAGGATCTCTGTGCACACGGCACATGCATCGATGCAGACCGGCTCACAGCTGGACAGGTAACCAGCCACGTGGACTACATCATATGTTTATGTACAGTCACCTGTACATATACAAAAGGAGCGGTACCAGGTGTGTAAAGCTCCTTTTGTATGAAAACATAAGCAACTGATTGAGACAAAGACACAAAGAGTAGCTCATTGCATATAGTTTAGTAACGGAAACCTCATGCATGTATGTATGTATATATATACTTCACTTCACTGCAGTGAAACTATCCCCTACATATAGATACAGGATGGGTTTGTGACATATGTACATGTCCCAAACGGAGCGTTCTGGGGTCGTGGATGATGCTCTCATGACTCATTAATAACCACATTAATAACGGCCCGCAGCGGGACGAGGGGCCAATTGTATCCGGTGAAAAGAAACGCTTGGGAGATATTAATATTAATGATCAGAATTCACGTAGCGTTATCACATCTCCAGTAAAGCCATCCTGTATGTATCTACATGTAGGCCATAGTTTCACTGGGAGTGGGCGCAGCGTAGCTCACTACACCCACCAACATACCACGTAGGTAAGAAATACCTCTGCAGTAAATATTTGTATCGACTGTCACTATTTACTTATTCCATGGCCTTCATGACAATTCAGCATTATTTCCTCTGGTGTCCATATGGTTTTTACCGCGAGCAGCCTAAGTACCAGTGCATCTGTGAGAGTGGCTGGGAGGCTCCAGCTGGGAACCCGTCCTGCGTGTCGGACGTTAATGAGTGCAACCTACCCAACAAACCCTGCTCCACCAACCCTGCTGCTCCCTGCTACAACACTCAGGGGTCCTTCTACTGCGGCGCCTGTCCGGCTGGTGAGCAGCCCGCCGCTCTGCAGACACTTTGGGGCGTTGCCATTGTGTGTTAATGACTCTACACTTCTCAGTCAGAAAAGGAAAAGAAGCACATTTCACTGATGAAGGTTACAAATAACTTCTCCTGTCTGTGTTAGGTTGGCAAGGCAACGGCTACAGCTGCCAGGATGTGGACGAATGTCTGACTAATAATGGCGGGTGCTCCTCCACCCCTGTGGTGCAGTGCCTGAACACCATGGGCTCCTTCCACTGCGGGCCCTGTCCCCCAGGTACAAGTCAAGAAGACGGACGGCAACACAGTTACACTGGGAAATGTCCAATGTGATTGGCTGCCCATTCAATTGTAGCTCACAGGAGCTGATACGGGGTGAGGGAGGCCTGTCGCGACAAATCAACGCGCAATCATTGCTGGTGCTGCGATATTCATTTTATATATAAGTGAACGTCACCAACATTTAAGTTAGAGAGAAGCAGTGAGCCCAACTAAGCTAAAATCTCACCCAAAACAAGAACCGCCCGTCTTTTACCTGAACTACTGTCGGTTCCTCCGGACTGCTGGTTCGCCTCCTTGGCCGGCCGCTTGTTAGCGGCACCGAGCCGCTCCGTCTCTCCCTGCTGCCGCGGATCAACAGTCATTGATCTAACATACTAATGTAATATCTAATAACGCACCGATCATCAGGACCCCCACCCCCCCCCCTGTTGACCAGAGGACCCCACCCACCCCCCTTGACCGGCGGACCCGAGCATAGGTCACTATGCTGCTTACTAACCTAACCCTGCCTAACCCTCTGAATGTATGTGCAGGCTACGAGGGCGATGGCAGAGCGTGCACCCAGACCAACATGTGCAATAACAACAATGGAGGCTGTTACCCTTTGGCCACCTGCTCCTTCAGTCCAGGTACAATACAAACATCTACACCACTTCTTTACTTTGGAGAATAGCGCTTGTGTTTTCTAAATAGGCTAGGGGGACTTTTAAGTCCCTTTAAGTGGACTCTGAACCGATCACGGCACCTCTTGAGAAGCAACACTATCCCATCACATACATGTATTTCAATAAACATTGCTGGTTGAGTGAGATGTAAACTGACAGGAAGCCTGAAGCTAGCAGGTCTCATATGTTACCAGAACATGGAGACTATTGAAATCAATAACTATGAAATCTTTTCTAACAGTACTTAGAATAATAGAACGGATTCACTTTTAGTTTGTAACAAACTGGTCTGATATTGGGACATCTCCTCATCCCCTAATGCGAGCCTCCTCTCCACCAGGCACCAGCCTCCCTGTGTGTACCTGCCCTCCAGGCTACATAGGCAGTGGTTATGGACCAACTGGTTGCTCCCAGACCAGCAACGCCTGCCAGACGAACAGCCCCTGTGTCCACGGACAGTGTGTGGTGAGTGGGCTCACTGTGGCGTCTCCCGTCATCCGCCATCACTCCTTCAGGAAGAAAATGCACATCCCATGAATGTACCCACTAACAAGGATGTGTGTGTTTATACCTAATCTTCTTCTGTGCCATAAGGCGACTGTGGGTGAGTGGGGAGGTCGTCCCCCAATCAGAGGGTTGGTGGTTCAATTCCCGGCCCTGGACACAGGTCCATGTGTCCTTGGGCAAGGCACTTACCCCAGCCTTGCTCCTGTAGCTGCGGCTGCTGATGGGCAGGTGTCACTGTGTGTGGTTCTCCTGTCGTCAGCGTGTGAATGATGTCATGTAGGGTTAAAGCGCTGTACAAGTACAGTCCATTTACCATTTACCCTTGTTGGCAAGAAAAACTCTACACTCTAATCACCATATCTTTAATTTAACTCATTTAATATAGTCCAATCAACCCGTTGCCCCAGAGCCCTTCAATCAGCACACATGTAACACCCTCAGTCCCAAAAGCCCCCTTTCACCAAAGAGCCTTCAGTGGGTCAAAGGGAGAACCTGCTGCGTTCACACCTGGGGAAGGTTTCACTCTCAGATTCTTTCTGCTCAATGTGCATGAACCACTTATCACCCTGAACAACAGGTCACCTTTGTTGTCAGCTATGGAAGATGGAGCAATTCTGTAACTGTGGAGGTCCCACTCACGTCGGACCACCGAACATCGCTGTGTTTAGCAATTAGCCTCCGTAGGTGCAGACAGGTCAGGTAAGTTCTACAGGAAGTGCGTCAGGATGACTGCCGCTTCCTGCGCTACATGGTGCTAGCCGTTAGCCCGTCTGATAGCTCGTTGGTTGTGTCACAGCGTCATCCTACTTTATCAGCGAGGGGGAAACATTTCCACTACAGCGTTGCCCGTTTGACGCAACCTAGCCTGAAATGGAGACCGCTCTCATCAATATGTTTGATTGATAATACAGAAATGATCCCCAGCTGATACTGTCCCTGAGCGCTTGTATGAACCTTCACAATTCATAATATATGAATCCTGCACTGCTGCCGTCACAGGCCACCACCTCGGCTCCTGGATACATCTGCATCTGCAGCTCTGGGTGGGGAGGAACACAGTGTGACCACGATATCGATGAATGCCTAAGTGACCCCTGTCAGAATGGAGCAACCTGCACCGACGGCATCGATGGCTTCACATGTACCTGCACTGCCCAGTGGACCGGTCCTCTCTGCCAGAGCGCCCAGCAAGGTAAGGACCAGAGGACATGGCAAGGGCGGACTAAGGTACAAGTAGAATGCATGTGTAGAGACGAGGGACCCTGTTTAATGCACCTTATTGTGAGATATCGCTGAACCTGGATCAGTCGCATGAATCAACGTGTGTGTGTGTGTGTGTGTGTGTGTGTGTGCGTGTTGACAGTGTGTGGAGGCTCCCTCTCAGGCCCCGCTGGTTCCTTCAGCTATCCCAACACCCCGGGTCATGATGAATATGAGCACCAGGTCAGCTGTGCCTGGGTGATTCGCATTGACCCCAACAAGGTCAGCAACAGTCCTCTTACTCTCCTTCCTGTCCGTCTGTCCTTCTGTTAATGTCCAGTGTTCTCATTCCTGTTTCAAGGAAGCGGCCCTGAACACGTGCACGTACTTAAAGTGCTGTCATGTGATCTGTGCTCTGATACCAGAACCACAAGCTGAAGAACGAGCGGACGAGACTGTTGGGATGTGGCAGATGTCTCTGAGCTGTGGCCTTGTCTCTCTTTCAGATTCTGCGTGTTACATTTCCTTTCTTTGATCTGGAGAGCAGCTCCAACTGCAACTATGACTTCCTTCAGATTCACGACGGGGACAGTGTCTCCGCTCACATGCTCGGAAAATACTGCGGCCCAAATAACCCGCAGGAGCTCCACAGCTCCCACAATGCCCTGTATTTCTGGTTCCGGTCGGACCACTCCAGCAGTGCTGGAGGCTTCACGGTTGCTTGGCAGTCTCAGGACCCAGGTAGGCCTGTTCTACTGCTCTGCTTCAAACCAGATCCTTCAAAGGTTGGACTTGTTCACACGTGTGACACGTCACCTGTTCCACTACATGGAAATATGAATAAAACTCAGCTGTTACTGATGAATGAATGAATATATTACGGAATCAAATGTAGAGTTTACAACCATATAGCAGAGCGCTGGTTACATCAGCCTCCATGAGCCCTACGGACAACTGACTATCCCAAGACGCAGAAAGAAGGAGAAGCCCCATAAGCCCCCCAGTGTACTCCACCTACGATACCAATGCTAGTCACTGAGGGTCTGTGGCTTTGGCCCGCGTTTAGAACCGCCGGGTTGGGGAAGTTCTCCAGCTGGTCCTTTGATGGTGTGAAATGTGTTGTCCTCCTAGTGTGTGGAGGCGAACTGACTGCCAGCTACGGCAGCATTAACTCGCCGGGTTACCCGGGAAACTACCCGCCTGGCAGAGACTGCTACTGGACGGTGGCCGTGCAGCCGGGCCGCCTCCTTACCTTTGCATTCGGGACTCTCAGTCTGGAGCAGCACCCGGACTGCAACTTTGACTTCCTTGAGGTGAGAAACGCTGGATTGAGCCACATAAAGTTGAGCCCAGCGTCACAGTGTGCTACGGAAACAGCATTTCTCTTTAAAGCTCGTCCCTCGAACCCAGCTCCGTCTTACCTGGTGCCGATACGCTGTTATATGGCGCTCTGACGTGGGCGCCGTGTGCCACAACTGACCATCTCCCTCTATTCTCTCAAACATTGTAGATCCGAGACGGCCTCTTGCCTGGAGACACAGTTCTGGGAAAGTACTGCAGTACTGCATTACCTCCCCCCATGCAGACCACTGGCCCGGCTGCTTGGATCCACTTCCACTCGGACTTCAGCGTCTCTGACCGAGGCTTCCACCTCACATACACAACGTCTCCAAGTAACACAGCCTGCTCTCATGTAACATGACGTTTATTGGGAATTAGAGTTGTTGTGTAAGATAACGGTCAGGACGAAGCTCTATGGGACACAGACACTAAACACAATATAAATGAAGGTCAAAGGGCATAATCCATATAGCACCTACATACACATGTGGGAAGAAAACCCTGTACTTGTAAATACCTACATTATAGTTGCCTGTCTTACCCTGGGATGTGTGCATTGTAGGTGACCCCGGCTGTGGTGGTACCTTCACTGACAGTGAGGGCATCATCATATCCCCCAACTGGCCCAACAACTATGCCCACAATCGCCAGTGCATCTATCTGATCAGGCTGCCAGTGGGTGAGACGTTGGCCCTCAACTTCACTCACATGAACCTGGAAAGTCACAGCAGCTGCACGTTTGACTACGTGGAGGTAGGACCTGTTTATGGACCACACATCTCATCACTACTTTAACCCCACGTCTTGCAACATGCATGTGGAGCAGTGAAGTTTCTGTAGTAAGTATACTGTGATTTTTGGTGGTGGTACACTGCGTATATCACGTAGACTACACGTACTATACTCTTCCAGGGGTCTTTGGTCTCTGGCGATGCTTCTTCTGCACCACCTTGACATATTGCCTGTGTCCCACCTTTTGTCAGCCTCACACCTCTGCTTTTAGTCGCTAGTTCTCCATCAAGACCACGGTCCTTCCCCAACTTCAACCAATAGAAGAGAACAGAAATCATGTTTTTGATAGCGATCCACTAACGTGGAGGTTTTCTCCTTACGAAGAGAATACAAGTTGGCTGGAACTATGTTCAAGCTGCAGCCAATGAAACGAGACAAGATTGGTCTCAGTTTGATCCTCTAAATGACCTACATCGGAAAACAAGAAGATCAGAGAGATTTCAACTCTTTCCTCCCGTTTCTAATGTGTTCAGGCCTTTCAATTCCCATGAGACCATCTCTCATATTAGCGTAACTGCTCCTAGTAGGTCTACCTGCCTCTGCAGCTCACCCACAATGCACCAGCTTCACCACCTCCCTTTCCCTGCTCCACCCCCTGCATTGTAGGTGCGAGATGGACGCGTGGAGACGGATCCTCTCATGGGGAAGTACTGTGGCAGCTCTCTGCCAGCGCCGCTTCTCTCATCATCCAACTCGCTCTGGATCCGTTTCAGGTCCGACAGCTCGGTCAGCCTGGCTGGTTTCAGGGCCGTCTACTCAGTAGGTGAGATGGGAAAATGACTACTGAGCAATACTGGTCCTTGGTGCAACAACTGGGCATCAAGTAATGTCCTCAGGATGCACTCAAGCAAACCTTCAGGCTTTAGCATTTCCTTAGTGAAGGCTGGTACACGAGGAGTTGTCTCAGGTCCAGTTCCATTGGACACACACACACAAGTCTACCCTTCAACAACTGACCTCTTCTGTGCCCAGTTTGTGGAGGTGTTTTGTCTGGGGCTGGGCAGCTCGGCTCCCCCTACCACCCGGACCCCTACCCCCACAATAAGGTCTGTGAGTGGGTGATTAACCAGCCAGAGGGCTCCGTGGTCACTCTGCGCTTCCTGTCATTCCACGTGGAAGGAGGTTCCTGCACCTTTGACTTTGTAGAGGTAAACAGATGTCACCATCTGCATTTCTAGTGTTTAACTTTCCAGCTGAATACAGAGTAATGGCCATGGTCTGCTTAATCACTTAATGTTATTAGCATTGCTATTTTTATAGCTGTATAGCATCTTTGTATTGTCTTTTTAATTGTTACAACCATAAGAATACGGCTGAAATGTTAAACAGTTATTATGGAACTTTTAATTGGTTTTCTTTGACGTCACATGTTGTGTTACGCCACTATGAAGGAACTAAAAAACCATATCTTTTTTACGTGTTGTCCTGCAGGTCAGGGACGGCTCCACATCCAACTCTCCTCTGCTGGGGACGTTCTGTGGAGCAGAGGTTCCTCCCAGGCTGCAGTCCACTCAGAGATCCATGTACATCCGCTTCAAGACCGACTCGTCCGTCAGCAACCGCGGCTTTGAAGCAGCCTATGACTCGGCCTTGGAGGGTGAGGCAGATATCCACTTTAAGCACTCTGACTGTCCTGGTAAAAAGCCACATAGAGATATTATTACCAGCAAACCTTTAACAAACATCGTTCTACTTCCCGGTGGCCTCAGTAAGGACAGATTGATATGGGGTTCATACACGTACTGTAGTAAGCAGGTGGTCAAAGAGCTTTTCTTCTCAGTCCAAACCTGTCCACCATTCAGCAGTACTTCTATATGGAGGAATACTAGTGCTTCTATATATTTGTGACCCAGTCAAGCTACTTTGACCCGTTTTGCTCTTTGCGGCACCAGGCTGTGGTGACGTCCTCACCAGCCCTTCAGGCACCATCACAAGCCCCGGTCACCCCGGCAGCTACCCCCATGGCGCCAACTGTACCTGGTACATCAGCGTTGCCCCAGGCAACCTGGTCCGGCTGTCCTTCGACTCCTTCCACCTGGAGTACCACATGAACTGTAACTTTGATTACCTGGAGGTGTACGACAACGGCACTGTGCAGACAGGAAGCAAGGTTGGCAGGTACGTGATACATTTCTACCTACTCAGCGCTAACGCTAGTTAGCCTGCTAACGTAAGCTCCACTGGCTTCTAGGTAGAATAGTGAGTTGTGAGCAGTAGATCTTCTTTCAACCTCTCCGGCTAATTAAACATGAATCCATATTCAGTAAAGCAGCCTGAGACAATCTGAGGCCATCAGAAGGGTCCGGTGCTGCACGGGTGGGCCGGCCTGCGTTCTGCTTCTTGTACTGACGGGTCGGGGGTCTGTGCAGGTACTGTGGGCGCTCGGTGCCTCCTTCCATCACCAGTACCGGCAGCCTGCTGACCCTGCTGTTGGTGTCAGACTGGAGTTTAGCCACTGAGGGATTCTCCGCCAGCTACGTCTCTCTCAACGCCACCACAGGTAGACCGTTGTCTTCTTTCACGTCTGAGTAGATGTCTATGCTGCTGCATACAACTCTTTATTTGATTTATGAGTTCTGTAAATGAAGCTTCAGAAGTACAGCGACGATTGATTGCGTGAAATGTCTTGACTTTTTCTGCAGTTGTGTTCAGACCCAAACTAGCATCTAAACCAATATGTAGCCTCCTCAATCATCCTGAACGCTGAGGCTAAAATTAAGCCTGCGACGGAAACTCACCTTCCACCACTCGCAATTATTTGATCGTTTCTGTCATATGAACTGAATGTACTGTTCATCTTTTACATTGTCCATTGTGTCCACATGTAGTCTGTCCATCAGGAGACGGGTCCTCCTCTGACGTTCTCACTGAGGTTTCTTTTCCCCATGGAAGGGTTTTCACTTCCCTGTGCTGATGTGAGCGTTTCAGGACAGAGGATGTCTCATGTGTACAGACTGTAAAGCCACATGAGGCCGATTTGTGATTTTGGGCTTTACAAAATGAAATGAATTGAAGTGAATTTTAATGTGGACGGATGTCAGATGAACCATGTGGACATGTCAGATGGACCATGTGGACGGATGTCAGATGAACCATGTGGACATGTCAGATGAACCATGGACATGTCAGATGGACCATTTGGACATGTCAGATGAACCATGGACATGTCAGATGGACCATTTGGACATGTCAGATGAACCATGGACATGTCAGATGGACCATTTGGACATGTCAGATGAACCATGGACATGTCAGATGGACCATTTGGACATGTCAGATGAACCACGTGGACATGTCAGATGGACCATTTGGACATGTCAGATGAACCATGGACATGTCAGATGGACCATTTGGACATGTCAGATGAACCATGGACATGTCAGATGGACCATTTGGACATGTCAGATGAACCATGGACATGTCAGATGGACCATGTGGACATGTCAGATGAACCATTTGGACATGTCAGATGAAACGTTGTGATATCAGTAGGACTTGACGCAGTGTGTTTGACCTTTTCAGATCTCTATACTCATTTACATTTGATATGTGGTAGGCATTTACGTGTTTCATTCATTGCATGTGATCGTGCACACACAGTGGGAGGCAGTGTGGATGTGACAATGAGCTACGTGTCATTCATGAGTAATCCAGCCTAGTTTATGGTGAGTTATTGGTACATCATCTTTAAACGCCGTGTGAAGGATGAGGCATCCAACACTAATGAAACGTAGTTGTGAATATTATCACCTAGTCCTACGGCCAGCTCCTAGAATGTTGTCTATGATGTAAGGGAGCAAGCCTCCATTCCCTTTGTGCAACGTGTGTTGTCTGTGGATAGAAGGAGAACTGAACTACTTTTACAAAGTGCTTGAACCTTTTCTCTCGTCAGACTGTGGAGAGACCTTCACCTCCTCTACAGGCTCCTTCAGTTCACCCAACTACCCCGACTACTACCCCAGCACCAGGGACTGCGTCTTCAAGATCACCGTGCAAGTCAACATGCAGATTATGCTGAACTTCAGCCACTTTGAGCTGGAGGGCTCCCCTCCTTCTTGCAACTTTGACTTTGTTGAGATCAGGTGAGGATTCGTTTGTCGAGAAGAAGACAACTCTTCTCGCCATCAGAGATAAACTTCACTTTAATGAGAAACTGACATATGAGGAAGGCTCACTGTGGTTGGTTGACTTGTGTGAAGCTACAGCATCAGAGCAGATCTGTTCACCTGCTTCTATTCGGAGCATCAATGTGATTATGTGACGGTCTGAGTGATGTACCATTAAGTATGGACACAGGCAGATGGCGTCAGGAAGCTGCTGTGACTGGTGTCCTAAACACTCAGACTGTCCACATTGTGCGACGCCTCGGCACCAGCGCTCACACTTGGCCGTCTCTCGCAGGGACGGTGGCTACGAGACGTCTCCCCTGATCGGTAAGTTCTGTGCCGCTCAGGGACCCCCGGTGCTGGTGTCCCATAGCAACCGCCTTTGGGTCAGATTCCACTCGGATAGCAGCGTCGCCTTTGGGGGATTCACTGCCCACTGGGACGGCACGCAGACCGGTGAGGGGCGTCTTCTCTCTCCCTATTCAGTCTCTAAAGGTTCATCATCTTACCATTTGTGTTTTATTATTCGTAATGCTTTGGTATATTATATCAATTAAGATAAGATAGAAGGTTACTAATCCTGAAGGAAATGACTGGGCCAGAGTTTGATCAAAGACTACAGAATTCCAAGCAACCTGAGGCCGGCGCTACGCTAGCGAGTGATCACGTCACGTCCCTTTGCACACTGCGCTCTGTACTCTGACGCCATCACTGTGTCCAAGGCTGTGGAGGGACGCTGAGCACGCCATCGGGAGGCTTCTCGTCCCCCAGCTACCCGCTGCCCTACCACCCCAACGCTGAGTGCTACTGGACCATCAGGACCAACCCGGGCAGCCAGCTCCTCCTGTCCTTCTCTCATTTCCACCTGGAGTCCAGCTCCGCCTGCGCCTTCGATTACCTGTCTGTGAGTAGGCAGTAAAACAGCAGAATGTGCCGAAACGCATTGCTGGACACTTGAAGCCGGTTTTCCTCTTGCAGTAAGTTGATGAAGGCTCTTGTGTAGAAGTAGAAGTGTTCCTCAGTTCTAAACAGCATGCTGCTTTCATGCTGGCTGAATACCTCGTTGTGCGTCTGCCCCCTCGGGGCAGCAAGACTTTAAAGCTGAACGCTCGGTTCCCCTGACTAGTGGAACAGGGAGAGGTACCCTGGTTCTGGTACCGAAGTATATCGGTCTGGCCTGTAGCGTCGCAACGTTTTTGTATTGCTGTATTTTATTAAATAATATACATATATTTAATAAGTGAGGCAATTGTCGTTTGCATTTTGTTGTTGTTTGATGTGTGTCATTGACGTCCAACGCCTGTGTGTGTGTGTGTGTGTCCAGGTATATGACGGTAACAGCACCGGTGGTCCACAGCTGGCCCAGTTGTGCGGCAGTCAGCTCCCCAGCAGCATCAGCTCCTCCAGCAACCAGCTGTACATCAAGCTGCGCACCGACGGCAGCGTCAGCGCGGGGGGCTTCCTCGCATCCTACACCTCCAGTAGGGACACACACACACACACCGGTCAGCTGTACTATTGCTAATACAACGCAGCGTTTTGATGAGTAGTACTACGACTGAGTTCTTCACTTTCAAGTTGAATCAACGTTCTGGTACTTGTTCTATTTCATTTAAACGTGTCTTTGAGTCCATGATGACTAATCTCCTTTATTTAGGTAAACCATCTTATTGGTGCTAACTTTGTCATTTAGGAAGTGACAGATAAGAGTACTAGTGATGATTTTAACCAGTAATATTCAGCAGGGTGAACATTGTACTGCATTAAACCTGCCATGTAGTCACTCCGTCTGGTTAGTCCATGACTGTGTGTGTGTAACACTCAATGATGCTGTTTCCCGTCAGAATGCCGCGTGCTCGTCTTGAACCAACACAAAGGAGTGGTGGAGTCACTGAACTTCCCCAACAACTACCCACACCACTCCGAGTGCAGCTGGACCATCCAGGCCAGCGCGGGGAACACCGTCAACTACACCTTCACCGCCTTCCAGCTGGAGGCCACCTCCAGCAGCTGCCCCTTCGACCGGATCACGGTACGCGGGCGCACACTGTTCCTCTGCAGGGTTCGTCCCTCCGTCCACACACATGAGGCCTCCGTTTCCATGGTGATCCAAGGCCCAGTCAGCTGCAATCGGCCCTGGAGTGTAGTGATAGTTAACATATGTTTATGGATGTACAGATGTGTGTCGTTGTATTGGACCGTACCGCTGTGTGATGTGTATCTTATCTCCTGCCTGCTAGCTCTTTGACGGGCCCAACGAGCAAGCTCCTCTCATTGGGACCTTCTGTGGCTACACGCCCCCCCCGGCCAACCACACCACCAGCTCAGCTCTCACTGTGGTGTTCACCAGCGACTCCGCCGTGTCCTCGTCTGGCTTCCAGATGATGTGGCACCAGAATGGTAAGAGATGAACAGCTGATGGCTCCGGTGGTTTCTACTACCCTGGTCACACTATAGCAGGGACCCTCAGAATCAGATCCAACGATGGCTGCACACCACAACGTCACCCAAGGATAAAGGTGGTGATGACGGAGAGAGAGGGTCATTCAATTAGAGGGAGCAAAGCTCTAGTTTCACTGCGCCCCCGTTGGACCCGACGTGCAGCAGGAGCCCCCCCTCGCTCCCATGGAGGACGCTTCATCATTATTACTTATTTAACTAACGCTATTCAAATCTTCAAAAGGGAACATTTGAATGTTTCAAAGCGCTTGATGCTCTGACTGATTCTCCGGTCGGGCGTGTGTCCTTGCAGGCTGTGGTGGGGAACTCTCTGGTTCCACGGGCTCCTTCAGCAGCCCAGACTACCCCAACAGGTACCCCGAAAACAAGGAATGTCTGTGGTACGTGACCACGGCGGCTGGCAGCAGCATCACCCTCACTGTCCACGAGTTTGACGTGGAGTTCCATCCTGACTGCAGCTACGATGTGCTGGAAGTAAGACGGAAACAAGAGTCACAAGAACAATATTTCCGTGTTCTTACACTCATGTAGCCGTTAACTGGGCAATATCTGTGTAACTCATTGACCCATGTGACCAAATAAAGAAGACATGCGTCTTATTAGGTGCAAGTTTGACCATTACTTTAACCCCCCCTCAGGTGTTTGGAGGCCCAGACCTGTTGGCCCCTCAGCTGGCCGAGCTCTGCAGCACCACGTCCAGTCCAATGCGCGTCTCCAGCACCGGCAACCGGCTCACAGTGCGCTTCAAGTCCGACGCCTACGTGAGCGGTCGGGGTTTTAATGCCAGCTGGGCTGAAGTTCAGGGAGGTGGGTGGACATTGTGTGTCCTGCTGTACAGTATTAGTATTGGGGGGGACGAGTAGTGGACGTACACAAAGACATGAATGAGGGAATTAGTGGTTTTTAGATAAAGTTAGACATTAAACAGTAGTAAAGCCTCTTGGTGCAGCGAGTGCTGCCACCTGCTGGTCTGCGACATCCAGAAGCCACCAGGACACGGAACAGCCTCCACGGTTTGGAAGGAGTCCGCTGACGTGGCAGCTTTGCTCCACTGACTCGGTGTGTCTTATATAATCATATAAATAGGGTGCTGCTGCGTCCTGGGCCTTCACCAACCACAGCACCACTGTTTGTACCCTTCAATGGACTGACTTTCTCCCTGCAGGCTGTGGAGGACCTGTCACTGCTCCATCGGGGGAGATCCATTCTCCTTGGTATCCCAGCAGCTACCCAAACAACGTGGACTGCTCCTGGATCATCAGCGTGGACCCCAACCATCGCGTCTTCTTCAACTTCTCTGACGTGGACATTGAACATCATAGCAACTGCTCCCGGGACCACGTGGCTGTGAGTGACGTCTACGATGCTTCATGCGGACTTCTTTCTCTTCGTGTCGGCCAAGCAGAGCTCCCGGCCCATGGATATGTCTTCTGTGGTTACTATATTATATATTACACACGTGATTGTGTGCTGGAGGGTGAATCTATAGATTGAACAATCAACATTCATTAGAATAGATGTTTTACTCTAGCTTAGCTTTGGAGCTAGCTAACGTCTGTGACTGCAGACACCTGGTGTCTACAGTCAGTAAAGGGACAATGGGACCCATTTGTAAGCCGCCGCGTCCATCACATCTACAATGTCCCCTCTGACTCTTCATCGGAGTCAACGCACAGAGCTGCAGGGAACAGCGTCCAGCCTACAGCAGGCAGGACGCTGAGAAGCTCATGCACACCAGCATCCGTCCAGCACGGACCACCAACCCCACGTCTTCGCTGCTATCCACGGTCCCTGAAGCCGTATGCCTACAGCTGGGGGCTAAGCTGCAGGAAACCCCCAAACGCTGGTTATTACTTACTGGTCAAGTATCTATCGCTCTCTAAAAACCTCCTGAAGCTCCAACTAGAGCGGGTGTCCAACAGGTTGGTCGCTCGCTGCCTCCGTTGGGTCCATCTGATGGGAAGCTTGCCTGTATCTATGTCATCAGCTGCTCCCTGTCCACTGGCTCTGCCCCCCCAAAGCAGCTTCCGTCTTTAGGAAGAGGGGCCTTGACCCGGAACAAACACAGCCCGTCCCCATGACCTGTTAAACGTGCTCGTTCTTCCTGTTTACCACGTGAAGACGTGTAAAACCAATGAAGCTGTGGGAGACAACCAGCGCCATGGGTGGAGGACAGTTCCTGTGGATCCAGTGCTTCCTGCTGTACTGAACCCACACGTCTCTCCCTCTGTAGATCCACGATGGTCCAACCACTTCTTCTCCTCTGCTCGCCCAAGTGTGTGGCAGCAGCCTTCCTCCCTCCATCACCTCCACCCAGAACACCATCTACGTTCGCTTCAGGTCTGACTTAAGCCACAACCATCGTGGCTTCAGTGCTCGATTCTCTCAGGGTGGGTCTCTGCTTTCATCCAACTGAAATGTTACAGATCATTTTGTTACATTACAGGTCATTTAGCTGACGCTTATATCCAAAGCGACTTACATTACTAACCCTTATGAAATGCAAAAGTATGTGGGGGGGGAGGCACTAACCATGGATTCCTATCTGTTTTCAACAGCCTGCGGTGCAACTATCATAGCGGATGACAGCGGTGGGGCCATCGTGTCACCTCGGTACCCGGCGTCTTACCCACCCGATCAGAACTGTAGTTGGATCCTGAGAGCGCAGGAACCATGTGAGCTGCTCCCGCCCCCCCCTCAGACGAGACGCCTGTGACACAGACCCTGTGGGTGTATAACTTAATAACTTGTTAACTTTCTGTCGCCAGTTAACCACGTGACTCTGTCATTCACTGACTTTGAGTTAGAGATGATTAACTGGAACTGCTCGCATGATGCTGTGGACGTCCTGGACGGAGACAACTACCAGGCGCCTTCTATAGGTAGTCCTCCTGTGTCAGCTGTTTACCAGGGCTCAGTGTGCAGATACGCTGCAAGCCCCCCGAGACACAGTATGAGCTGATACGAGTGGACTTCTTCTTCTTTGTCAGGGCGCTACTGTGGCTTTGAAATACCTCAGCCAGTGACGTCCTTCAGTAACTCCATGGTGGTAAACTTCATCTCCGACCACTCTGTGTCCAGTAAAGGGTTCAGAGCCACCTTCTCAGCATCCACCTCCAGTAAGACGAAGCAGTGCTGCAGCCAATGCGTGTAGAAGTGATCCCACGGGGCGCCGTCCAGCATAAGTCATGCTGCCACTTCTTCTGCTCAGGTTGTGGAGGAGATCTAGTGATGGAGAGCGCTGCGTTCAACAGTCCGAACTATCCAGATGCTTACCCGCCTGATGTGGAGTGTGTGTGGACCATCAGCAGCTCTCCAGGGAACCGCCTCCAGCTGTCATTCATGTTAGTCAACAAGAACCCGACTGCTCAAAGATGACCTTTGGGGTCAAATGTCAAGCACGTTTTTGATATTGATTCAACCCGTTTTTAAGTGACATGTAGGGAGACGTACTCTTAATGCCTGAGTATATATGAGTTCCTGGTCCACATAGTATGAGACGTACCAGGACGGATTGTGAACGTGTTGCAGAGGCTTTATAGTTTACACCACGTCTCTATTATGTCCACATGCTAACAGCTGCACATCATTGGATCCTAACTGACTAAGAATGATACGCACAGAGAAGATGCCCGTGATGTTCTTTGGAGCGGGTTGAGCCTTGGAGGAGTTGTGGTGAAGCAGTAACCACCTGGCGTACTACTGATAGACGCCTGTAATAATCTGTAGCTATCTTTGGTATTAGAGAGAACCTTATGACTCCACAGTAACGGGACGTCTCTTGTGTTCAGCCTCTTTAATCTGCAGGGAGACGCTGGGTGTCACAATGACTACGTGGAGATCAGAGAGGGCTCCTCCACGGGGGCTCTGGTGGGCCGCTTCTGTGGCAGCTCGCTGCCCTCTAACTACACCTCTGTGATTGGTCACATCCTGTGGGTCAAGTTTGTGTCCGATCCGTCAATCAGCGCAGCAGGATTCAGAGCCACCTTCTCACACCGTGAGTTCATCTGTTCATCGGTTTCCAGCTCTGACTAAAGTGCTCGGTTCATATTAGCGTTGCTGGTTCCTACTGATTCCTGGTTATCATTAAGATCCTTGGGAGGCCAAACCCAGTAGTGTACAGAGGGTCATGTAGGCAATCTGTGCGATACCTCCATTCACATCTGTCCCTGACCGGCGAAACCCGTCTCTAGAAGATGGTTCACACGCGTCCTCACAGTCAGAAAGATCATCATCTCATATTATGCCTTCATAGAACCTCAGATGAATCCGATGACCAACACATCAACTCGTTTCAGACCTTTTTATAAATGAATAGTAGTATTGTCAATAATGTGACCAAGCGAGTCACAGATCTGATGCTCATCCAGGAGCGACTTCAGTGGAGATGATGAGCAGTTCTCATCGATGCTCATTGCTCATTCAGTCTTGTGGCCAAGCAATGGTCCTTTACAGGAGGTCTCCACACTGCAGGCACTGTGCTGTCATAGTGGGGTTAGTGTGTGAAGTTCACGCGCTGGTTGGACCACACAGTCAGTGTCTCGTATCTTCAGTGACTCGATCACTGGAGATACGAGACACCGACTGTCTCACTAAGCGTCACTAAGCAGCGTGGTCTGTGTTCAGGGACTGAGAAGCGTGGCGTTGACTTCTTTGCTCCTCGTTAGTGTATGGCAATGATGTGGAGGGGGAGTCTGGTCAGATAGCGTCGCCGCTGTATCCCAGAACCTACCCCAACAATGCCCACTACCACTGGACCATCACTGTGGACAGAGGCAGCTACATCCAGATCCGCTTTGTGGACATGGACATAGAAGACCTGTACGACTGCAACTACGACCAGCTCAAAGTAAGACCCCTTTATACCTTTGACTCCAATACAATATTCTGAATGTCAGCGTAAGTGTTCAGATGATGAGATATAGTAGATAATAATAATAATAATAATAATAAGCGTCTTAATGAATTATCCACGTTGTGGCCTGTACGTACGTACAGTAAATGCTGGGAGGGCTGAAGTGGAATACAAGAGCAGTCAGAAGGAAATAGTCTTTAGTGAGCACATCATCTGATATACACACGGTGTATCGGACAGCAGGGACACCAGAAAGGTGGAGCCCCCCATCGTTGTTTCTTACCTCCAGATATTTGATGGCCCTGACGTTCATCACATCCCCATTGGAGCGTTCTGTGGTTTGGCCCTGCCCCCCCCCTTAAGGAGTTGGGGGAGCACTGTGACTCTGCAGTTTACCACCGATTCAGTGGTGGGGGGACGAGGTTTCCTTGTGGAGTGGACCGCTGTCCAGGACTCTGGACCACCGCCCACTATCACACCAGGTATAAACTACATGCTACTTTACATTCCAAAGAAAGCCAGAATCTGGTCCTGGTGCCTTCAAGTGAAAAGGAAATGCAGATTGGCTTCTGTCTTATTTGCATCTTCTTGGTACAAATAGAAAAATCTATGTGATTGGTGTATTTTTAGAAGCTGAGTCTTTCTATCTGACTGTAAACCAAGTTATTGACAAACTGAGGCTCACTGTTAATGGAAGCGATCATGGAACGGTCCCAGCTGCTCCTCTGACTCCATCCACAGCGTCCACTCAGAAGTCTGATCTGGAGTCAGCGTTGTTACAATCTCTGAACGTGTACCTTTAACTGTCACATGAATGACTTTATGAACAGCAGTTGACTGTCCAATGACTTGGACCACAATATGTGTTGTAGTTTGTGTGCATAATTAAATCATTAAGGACTAAAAAACATTATTCAACTGAGGGTATTGACATGAAACCCATTCTCTGTTTCTACTAAGTACATGAACCTCTGTGTGTGTGTGTGTGTGTGTGTGTGTGTGTGTCAGGGGCTTGCGGGGGGGTTCTAATGACGGGGGACACTCCTGGCTTCCTCTTTTCTCCTGGATGGCCGGACAGCTACGCTCCTCACCTGGAGTGTACCTGGTTGATACGTTCTCCAGACTCCACCATAGAGCTGAACCTCCTCTCTCTGGACATAGAGGACTACCCCGGATGCTACTTTGACAGCCTCGTCATCAGAGACGGTGAGCCGTGAGTGAAAGGACAAGAAAAAACCACAAGCAAAAAGCATAGGAACCGCCAAGTGTTGGACAATAAAAGCCATTGGCAGAAATGAAGAAGAACACCAGGGAGGTGGTTTGTGTGTGGCAGCACACGCTGTAGAGTTGGGTCCATTTAGTCCTCTGAACATCTAGTGATGGTTGCCATGCATGTGTGTGTTCTCAGGTGGGAGCAGTCTGTCCCCCCTGATGGCCACTGTGTGTGGTCCAGATCCCCCAGCTGCTCTCCACTCAACAGGAGACTCCATGTTCATCCACTTCTCCTCAGACGCCAGCATCGCTGGCCGAGGCTTTAATGCCTCCTACTCCAAAGGTCATAGGTCATACCACAAGCAAATGACAACCATTGGATATTTGGGACGTATATGCAGCGACTTTGGCACAATCGATGGTTTAACCATTTAATCAAACCGTAGGTAGAAGAAATATAAAGGAAAAGTGTTTCCCCAACCACTGTAACAGGGGTTCGCCCCCCTGAAAAAGTGTGCAATTTAAATTAATAAAATAAAAAAGTGTATAATTGGTTTTCCACGCTGACATGAATGTGTGCGCTCGTAGCAGCGGGGCAGAGCCCCAGAGGGACGACTTTAGCTTTAAAGAGGCTCCTCGGCTGCTTTGTGTGTAGACATTTGCGATTTAATATGAACTAATATTCGCTGGCCAGCACCTACAGGAGTAAAGCTGATCAACAAAAGGCTTCATTTACACACTCTGGTCAAATGTAGATAATCAGTCTCCATCAGAGCTTCACCACATGTTGTTTTGTTCAATCAATGCCTTGAGAGGCACTCCAGCCCTCTTTTATGACACTTATCCTAATGTTGTGCTTTTTAAGGTTGTGGGGGCCTGTTGCATGTAGACAGAGGGGTGCTGAGCAGTCCTCAGTACCCCCACAACTACCTGCCCGGTCTGAACTGTAGCTGGCATGTGATGGTGACCACAGGCTTCAGGGCTTCCGTCACCTTCCAGAGTCCGTTCCAGATTCAAGGCTATGGAACTCAATGCAGCTCTGGAGACTACCTGGAGGTACATGCAGCACATAGAAATATATATAAGCATAGGCACATATTCAAAAAGCCGTTTACAGATTTTATAGCCTTGTGTTGGTCGTACTATGCTGGATTCATCACTTTCAGATCGCTCCAATAATAGCTTGCCCTCTGCACATACAGGCAGTATTTAATTCAACAGCAGCAAGAATGAACAAAGAGGTTAGCGATGCTTGTAATGTGTAACGCATGTTGAATTAACCACTGGTAGTCACAGCTGATGTTTGTTCTCGAGACAGAGGGACGAAATCGAGCAGCATACGTGGGTTTCATCGTCTCCACAGATCTCTGCCTGTTCACACTAAAGCTAATGTGAAGTAATAATAATAACAGTTGTTTTCTGATTAGTCACTGGCTGTTGTCTCCACAGCTAAGGAACGGTCCAGATGGTTCAGCTCCACTACTGGGGGGACGTCTCTGTGGTTCAAGTGTGCCATCTCTGTTCCAGACTACTGACAACCACCTCTTTATTCACTTTGCATCTGATTCCACCAATGAGGCCACTGGCTTTAAGCTGACCTTTGAAGCCCACAGTCAGGGTATAACAACCTCTTATCTATTGCTTCTGTGTCAATAGAATTCATTACAACATTCATATGGTTGGTGTGTTGTACACCAGTGTCAAATAATACCAACAAGTCAATTACTTTATCAGTGTTATTATTCCTATTGGTGTTGATGGTTCATTTAAAAGTGCATGAATTGATTACAGGGTTGAGTGAGACAAGGGTTGAGTAGCCATCAGGATACCAGGAGGCAAATTTCACGCAAATAGACAGGCAGACACGAAGGTAGAAAGTATGTATGTAGACAGAGAGGTAGACAGGTTGATAGAAAGGTATTAACATATGTGAACAGGTAGGTAGACAGGTAGATAGAGAGGTAGGTACGTAGATAGACGGGTAGATTTTTTTACAACAGCCACAGAGAATTTAAATAATTGATTGCTGTTGGTATTTAAAGAGAATTGCTATCAAAGATCGGGGCATATATGGACATGCCTTTCATGATGCTGGTTAATTGCAAAGTGGTCCCACACATTTATATGTTTTCCCTTTTTTGCAGCATGTGGAGGCTACATTGAGCTAGATGGTAACGATCCTCCAGGGTACATCACTTCACCAAACTATCCCCAGAACTACCCCCAGAACATTGACTGTATTTGGGTCATAACTGTGCCCAATGGAGAAGCTGTCCAAATTGACTTTGAGGAAGAATTCTACATTGAGCCCACCAACAGGTACAGCTGCTACCCAGGCTGCTCTTAGGTTATATTCACATGTCCTTTGCTTGCGTTTGGTTTTACACTCTGGAGACTCCACTGCCTTTTGTATTTGCTCTTCCATTTACAAGTCTCATGACATCCTTCTTTAATAGATACAGTTCATTTTTTTCCCTCAACTGCTTCAATAAAATATGCATAATTTGATACACCTTCAAGCCCTTAAATAAAAGTAATGGCCAAGACCCAACATGCAGACTGTTTGGGTCTCAAATAATTTAGGTTTTATTTAAGAAAGCAATGAGCATTATCAGGTGATTTTCCTGTGATTCCGTCCTCATGTCTTTAACTTCATGTTTCTCAGCTGTCTGTATGACTACCTGGAGCTGCGGGATGGCTCAACAATCAACACTGGTTTCATTTCCCGCCTCTGTGGAAACACCCGGCCATCCACCCAACATTCAACAGGTGCCTCCATGCTCCTCAGGTTTCGCACCGACGCCAGTGTCGTGCACAAAGGCTTCAAGGCAAAGTACTCGATAGGTAGGCAACTGCATGGTTCCAGATATTGACAAATTCTATTTATGTTATAGTAACAAATCTTAAATAATACTGTAGCCACCATAAATAAAAGTGACATTGTATTTTCAGCCATTCAATGCTAATTGTTGCTCTGTTGCTATTTGAAAATGCTACATTTGAATTCCTCCCTGATATCGTGGGGTCAAAGAGAGGAAACCTTTCAAATCCTACACGGGAACGGCCCTCAAGTTCTCCTCTTTGGAAAACGTGGCCATTGAAAATAAGTGAAAAATTCCATCATTTTAAAATAAAAATGTCCCTTGTTATGTCCGATCTCTCCCAGCAACATGTGGAGGTACCTATATAGGTCAGAGGGGTACGATCCACAGCCCTGGTTTCCCAGAGGCCAACTATCCTGACAGCTCCAGCTGTGAGTGGTACCTGGAGGGGCCCACAGGGCATTACCTCACCCTTAGCTACGGCAACCTCAGCCTGCAGACCACTCAGGGATGCTCTGCTGACTATGTGGAGATCAGAGAGTACAATGCCTCAGGTAAGACACTCCCCCATGAGAGTCGACCATCAATAAAAAACAACAGCTCACAACCGCACATCTGTACCAGTTTGACATGTTTCACTCACCATCTCCATTTGAATTGGCTGTCAATGGCAAATATACATTTTCTGTGAGTATTGAAGTTCACTTCCAGAACACTCACATTGTCACCAATTGTGGTGAACATTCATTTTTCCCAGTTTCTATTTTCCAATGTGTTTATGGGAATGACACGGAAAAGAAAAGGGGGAAGTAAGCACTATGCAGTCAAAAGCCATATGGCTTGATACTGACATGAAAGTAGTCATGTAGTAGTAGAAAGTAGTCAAAGTGACCCTCTATCCTGTGTTGTACTGTGTGTGCAGGGCGCCTCCTGGGCCGACACTGTGGGAGTCACCCTCCGGCTTCCGTTGACACATCTGACAGTTTTGCCTATGTCAGGTTTGTAAGTGATAACAGTGGAAATGCAGCTGGCTTCAGTCTGACATTTGAGGCCAGCATTGAAGGTAAAATCATTTTCTAAAGATCATGAGATTATTTGTTGCACAATGACAAACTACTGACATTCAGCTAAAGCGGATTCCGATCCGTCACTGAAGGTTTGTTCCAGTCCTATGAACAAAAGCCCTATGTTTGTTCACAGCTCTTTTACTGGACATGTCATCATTCACCTTCATATCCATCCACTGATGACAGGAGCTACGCTACACAGTAGATCAGGAACTTTTCTAGCCAATCAGTTTGCCTCAGAGAAAGTGTCCTTTGACAACAGACTGAGAATTAGATAAGAGCCTCCTTGGCAGGTGGCCCCGTGCAGGTTTACCCCCCCATCACTGAACCGGTGAATGATGACATGTGAGTGGTAAGAAGATCAGAAAGGTGCTATAGAAATACAAGGGAAATGACCATTTAAATAACTTTTTCTGGTCATTTTATAAACTGTACTGCATTCAGTAAGTCACATAAAATGTCCCAATACCTTTTTATATCTAGATATATAAATGTCATTGCTCATATTGGAAGTGTCCCTTTTGTTTGACGTTTCCTCATCCAATGGCAGTCTGTGGAGGAGAGCTGAATGCCCCCTCAGGGACGATCTCCTCTCCCAACTACCCCAACTTGTACCCACACAACCGGGTGTGTCGCTGGGAGCTGGTGGTGTCACCAGGCCGCCGGGTCACACTCACCATGGAGGACCTGCGGCTGGAAGAGTCTGCTGCTTCCTGTGCATTTGACTACGTTGAGGTAAGTTATTTGGTTCTTCTTCTAGTGTTTATCATCATTATCATATTTCTGAGACACTGGCAAGGTTGTGGAATGTGTTTTTGCTAAAAGTACAGTTTATGATGGAGTAAAAAAATGAAATTGCTCTTAAACTACGTTGTACAACTATGGCTACTATGAATAGAAACATCTTTCCTGCATTTCATTTGACCCATATGAAGTGAGTGGACGGTCTATCTGTCTACCTGCCTGTGTTTCCTCCTACCACTGACCTACCTTTCATCCTTCCTACCTACCTGCTGTGTTCCTCCTACCATGGACTACCTTTCATCGTCCTAACTAACTGCCTGTGTTCCTCCTACCATTGACCTACCTTTCATCCTTCCTACCTGCCTACTTACCTACCTGATTCCAACATATT